CCCCCAACCCACTCTCTTCCCCAATGGGTGGCTGGCAGGTGCTATGAAGTGTTTTGCTCTTTCTTTGCTTTCAAACACTTATCATCCTTCTTATCTCCCCTCGTTTTTTTTTGTGAATGTAACTCTCTTGTAACACCTCTAATCTTCGGCACTTATATGACTTTATTGTGTTACAAATGCCGTAAAACTCTTACTGTGGGCAGTTGGCAGATGCTCTGGTAGGGTTTGCTTCTTCTTTCCTGTCAAATATCTATCATCCTTATCTCCCCTCCTCATTTTTTATGTTTGTTACTCTCTTGTGACACCTCTTATCTTCTGGCGCTCATATGACCTTGTGCAGTTGTGAGCACCGTTAAACTCTTACTAAAACTAAAAACTCTGCACTTATGTGACCTTATTGTGCTACAAATGCCGTAACACTCTCACTAAAACTAACACTTCTATGTCTCATCCCTCCCCTCCCCCCTCAGGGTGGCACTGGCACAGAACAAGCACTCTTCATGCGTCTCTATCTGCTGCAAGGCATCGTGGCTTTCCACCAAGGTCAACTCAGTCAGGCTCGCAACCTTCTGGGACGAGTAAGTGATATTACGGACAAGGTGCAGTAAAAATGGTTCAAGATTGCTACCAATGAGTGGTTGACGGGTGCTCTGGTGTAGTTAACTCGTTCTTTCAAATCAAACATCTATAGGGGGGCTCTCGTGGCCTAGAGGTTAATGTGTTCGCCTCTCTTTCAAAGGTCCCGGGTTCGATTCCCGGTGATGACCGAACAATTTTATTCTCTAAAATTGTCTCCTTTCACCTTCTTTCCATCTCTCTTGCAACATTCTGTTGTCTGCTTTCGTCTCCACTTTCTTCCCCCACCCCTTCACCCTCTTTGCCCTCTCCACTAGGCTCTTGACTCTTTCTGCAGCCCTTCAACTACTACTCCTTGGCTCCTTCTTAATGCTGTCTTTCAGCCTCACCCCCAGTGCTGGGCAATGAGTCGCTCTAGCAAAATTCGGATAATATGTTAGTGCACCTCTTCTGCAATTAATATGATATGAACCGCTTCGTCAAATGGGTTAGAACCACTTTGACAAACGGGTTAGCATCACTTCAACAAATGGGTGCACCCACTTCGGTAAACGGGTCAGGAAAGGGAGTTAAAAGAGTCTGAATTCGGAAAATGTTTCATTGAGAATTATCCGGTTATCTTTATAGTTTATCCGGATTTTGCCCACCTCTACTCACCCCTGATCTTCTGGTACGAAAGATCTACACCTAGCCTTCTAGGACAAGGACGAATAATCTCGGAGGTCCTGTGTGCAAGTTGTGCTAGTTAGAGATCCCTTGGTGGTCCAAAATCGATAAAAGTAGGCTTCGGACGCTGCCTGGGCAAAATTCAAAAGTTTCCTACTACTTGAAAATGTTTGGTGTGTCCCGAGCGCTCATATGAACTTATGCAGTTGCGAACGCCATAAAACACTTACAAAAAAAAATTATTTAAAAAACTCAAATCTTTGGCACTTTTATGACCTGATTGCGTCTTTTAAAAAGATTTTCACCCTTTATTGAGAAGAAAAGTAGTTGTCTTAGATTGAATTCTTAGACAGTGTCATCCTAATATATAAACTCTTGTGTCTGTGATCTATTTACTTGTATACTATTGAGGGTGTCGTCAGTGTCATTTGTATTATTTATCCCTGTACTAGTGCGTCATTGCCAGTGTATTTTGTGTCCTCCACAGGCCCAGTTTGTCCTAAGTCTACTTCATGTGGATCCAGATAAACTCAATGAAGGTTTGTAGTTCAGCTAGAGGGATGACTGTTGATCCATACTACAGTTTAGATGGGTTGGATCTTTTTTAAAAGCTTTTTATATATTTAAAGTATCTGTAAAAGACTGTTTAGCATTTGAATACTTCGATCCAGTCTGATTGTTGTTTGTTTGTCTTTCAAAGTAATCGCAGCAGGTGGTTGGAGGGCGATGTCCTTTCCTCAATCTGTCTGTCTGTTGAGGTCCTGGTGTTCCAGGTGGGTCGACGCGTTCTGCAGCTGTCGTCTGGGTTTGTAGGTTGGTAGACTGACATCCCTCAGCAACAGCTGGCGGGAGCACCATCTTGCAGGCTCATCATTCGCTCCCCTAAGACCGGTGATACCGAACTCGACCAACGTGTACCCGCGGGCCGGTATTGTTCCAGCTACAGGGCCGAGCTTGTAGCTCTCAACACAGCGCTGGACACGCTTGTGGCACTACATACAGCAGGCAGCCTTCCGAACAGTGTACGCATCCATGTATACACTGATTCTAGGTCAGCAGTCATGCGCCTCTCGTACGGCCCTGCCAACCAATCGGAAAAGGTGGCCTGCTCAATCTGGCAGCATCCGCACACCCTCTGTCAACGCTCTGAATGTTCCATCCTCTTACAGTGGATTCCAGGCCACACTGGACTGGCTGGGAACCAGGAAGTTGACAGCATCGCCAAAGAAGCAGCAGCGCTTACCCAGATTGACACGCCAATCGATTTCTCAACAGCTAAAGCCGTCATCCACCGATCAACCCGCGCAAAGTGGAAGAAAGAGGCAAAACCCAAACTGCTGTTTGCCCAGCCGCCATTATACCATCTTGAGGCCTCGCTCAGACGACAGGACCGCCAGCTTTTCTCCCAAATGAGAACTGGTGGAAAATCGCCCAAGCTGAGATGATATCTCCACAAAAATACGGCAGCAGACTACCCAGATCCATCCTGTCGAGCCTGAAAGGAGGAGGACGAAACTATGGACCATGTGTTCCTGAGATGCCCCGCCAGCTATTGTGCTAAAACCCGTCTGCTGGGACATTTCAGAACCCACTTTCAGCACTTTTTAAGGACCCCGGGCAAGTGTTGAGTTCCTGCGTGCTGTCGACATCGCTGACCGTTTATGAAGCCACAGGGCCAGAAGAGAGAGAGAGAGAGATCTGTCTGTCTGTCTGTCTGTCTGTCTGTCTGTCCGTCCATCCGTCTGTCACTCCCCCCGTCTGTCCATCTGTCTGTCTGTCCCTCCCTCCATCCGTCCATCCATCTCTCTGTCCCTTAGTCTGTCTCTCCATCCCTTAGTCTGTCCCTCTTTTCGTCCACCCCTCCCTCCCTCCCTCGCTCAACTAAGTAACATTCTGTCATCTCTCTCCACCTCCAGTAATGGTAATGGGCTTCTCAGACAGGGAAGCTCATCTGCCTCTCTGTCTGTCTGTGTGTCTGTCTGTCCGTCCCTCCATCGGTCCATTCGTCCGTTCCTCACTCAACTAAGTAACGTTCTGTTGTCTCTCTCCCTGCCTTTAGAATTGGTGATGGGCTTCACAAAGAGGGAGCCTTATCTGTCTTTCTGTCCTTCTGTCTGTCTGTCTGTCTCTCTGTCTGTCTCTTTGTCCGTCTGTCCGCCCCTCCATCCTTTCCTCCCTCTCTCCCTCACTCTCTCTCAACTAAGTAACATTCAGTAATTTCTCTCTCCACCTCCAGTTATGTTGATGGGCTTCACAGAGAGGGAGGCTCGCCTGGGACTCAGGGCCAAGAACGGCAACATTCAGCAGGCTGTAGACCACATCATGAAACAGAAACAGGTAGAGTTTAATAGCCTGCCCCAGTTCTCAGGTTACATGATATCAATGGCCTCGTGCACAAACCCTCTAAGTGTGGGTAGTTAGAAGCTGGTCTGATCTGGATTGCTCCTTCTTACCTATCAAAAGATCAGATCTATCATTCTTTGCTCTCCTCCTTTTCGCTTTAGTATGTCACTCTTTTGTAACACCTCTGATTTTTGGCACTTATATGACCTAATTGTGTTGCAAGTGTGGTATATTCTTACTAAACGAAAACTAAACTAAACCATCTAAGTGTGGGTGGTTGGCGGGTGCTCTGGTGTGGTTTGCTCCTTTCTTATAAGACATCTATCGTCCTTATCTCTCCTTCTCTTTTTTTGTGTTTGTTACTCTCTTGTAACACATCTAGTCTTTGGCACTTATATGACTTTATTGTGTTGCAAGTGCCGTGAAACTCTTACTAAAACTAAACTTAACCATCTAAGTCAGGAGACATAAATTTTTTACCGGAGAAAAAGAAAAGATCTGATTTTCTCGAAACTAGCAGCGGGATGTAGATGCTTGGATCACATGACTGTCCAGCACATTTGTTTTGATCTGACACCTTGAGTATAAAAAGACATAGTGTAAAATGGAGCTTCCTTGCTAATTATAGCACGAAAGCTTCTGGGGGGGAAATTGAGCAGGAGATGGTTTGTGCTGGAGGTCATTGATATATTATAGTGTCATATGTATGTATGTATTGTGAGGTTATGTAGTGCTGCATATTGTGCATTGCAAAGTTGTTTGCATTGATGTATGTGTGTTTTCAGGTTACATGGAGTAGCTTATGTATGTTTTCTAAAGCCAGGTGTATCGGTATACATGTATTCTGAAGTTTCGTGTATTGAATATTGTGTATCTAGAGATTATGTAGTGATACACCTGTATTCCAAGGTTTTGTATAGTAGTGTATGTATTCAAAGCCTATGTATAGCAGCGCATGCATTCTGAAATTTTACTCAATGATGTATGTATTGTTACGTACCATAAGGCACAACAAGATAAAAATGCGTAAAGTGAAGTGCTGTCGTGTGTTTCTCTGTTTTGTTTAACATATTTATTAGTCTTAGGTTACATACATCATCTCATGTGTATTTTTAAGTTGTATAGAAAGATGACGTATCTTGAATGTGCTGTTGTTTGGGGTTTTTTTCTCATTATACTCCTGACTCAAGCAGTAATGGGTACCTGACTTCGAGTTAAGGAAGTAAAGGCGGCGTGGAAAGGAACTGGCTACCCTACCACAATATGCCGAAGGCCCAGGAAGTTGTCTCCCTAACAAGGCAATCCCCAATGTCCGGATCAGATGCGGGAACAACTTTACTTTACTCCTGACTCTGTCTCTGTTGCAGTTGGACACTCTGTCTCTGTATTTTCGCTTGTGTTTTCTTTGAATGGTTTCCTCTTGGATTGGTTAGGGGGAAAAAATTTGGAAAGTAATTTGATGTTGGGGGCTGTCCCCATGGTTACTGGGGGAAAACGTCTTTTCTATGCTTATATGGTGAAAGTGTGAAATGCTGATAGCCTTTCCTGGCCCCACAGGAAAAAGAAGAGATCAACCAGAGAGTAAAGAAAGAATGGAAGCAACGAGTACGGGCCAAGAAACTGGGCAAAACGCGCTCTGGTCAACTGTAAGTCACAACACACATTTACGTTTGGGTGGTTGATCAGTGCTCTGATGCAGTATGCTCCCTCTTTCCTGTCAAACATCTGTCGTCCTTGGTCTTCTTCCTTCTTTTCTTAGTATGTTGCTCTCTAGAAACACATCTAATCTTCAGCACTTATATGACCTTATTGTCTTGCAAGTGCCGTAAAACTCTTTCAAAAAATGAAAACCTGCTGTTTAATGACATCTGTGCGAAATTCACACCTCATGACACCTATAGCTACATAGCTCTGGTGTGTTTTGCTCTTTCTTTCCTATCAAACATCTATTGTCCTCATTTCTCCTTTTCTGTGTTTTTTACATCTCTTGTAACATCTTTAATCTTCAGCACTTATAGAACCTATTTGTTTTGCAAGTGCAGTAAAACTAAATAAACATTTTTAAATCTCCTTCTTTTTTGTGTTTGTTTCTCCCTTCTAACACCTTTAATCTTTGGTACTTATTTGACCTATTTGTGTTGCCAGTGCCATAAAACTCTTACAAAAACAAAAAGCTGCTCTTCAATGACATCTGTTCCCCATCTACACTTCATGACATCTATAGCTACATGACATGTACTTCACATTCACTTTGTATTATTCACTGTGCCTGTGCTGCATCCGAACCATTGAAAGTCTCCGTTACATGTAAAATATCAACAACTCGTCCAGTGGGTGGTTGGCAGAGGCTTTGATATGATTTGCTCTTTCTTTCCCATCAAATATCTATTGTTCTTATCTCTTCTCCTTCTTTTTTGTGTTTGTTACTCTCTTGTAACGCCTCTAATCTTCGGCACTTATAAGACCTTATTGTGTTGCAAGTGCCGTAAAACTCTTACTAAACTAAACTTATCTCTTCTCCTTCTTTTCTTTGTTACTCTCTTTTAACACGTCTAATCTTCAGGACTTGTATGATCTGTTTGTGTTGCGAATTCCATAAAACTCTTATTATTTAGACTAAAACCCAAGCAATGTGTCCATTGCTGCACGTTGCCCTTACGCATTACAACTTAATGAATCGTCTCTTCTTCCCCC